GAACTTCGAGACGCATAAGAGCATGTGATAATCATGGCTCATACAGAAGTGCACTTACTGCTCTCTTCGCTATCGTGGCCGTGGGCTGGAGGCGGATCAAGTCCTTTTTAAATCTTCAGAATCAGACGAGGCTTCGATAAGTTGTTCTGAAATATCCTTGTATAGGTTAGTTATTACCAAGTGGGTGAACCCTGCTGCGCGCTCCCTTTTCCTTATGCTCCACACCGAAAAATTGAGCACGCAAATTAGAGGACCTGAGGTTTAAAGCACGTTTGTTTATTGAACATTATTATTTATGCTCATTATGCAAGGTTGCTTCAACTGGAGAGAAAAAAACAAATAAAAAAAAAAAAGCCTAAACGTTGACTGATAATTTATTGAAATTGAAATAAAAAGATCACGGACTCTGACTAAAAATTCTTCCACCCTGCATTCTAACCGACCCAACTAAATTTCTTCTTTCTTGCGCATTTTTTTATTTTTCGCTGAAAACGTACTTCATTTCGATTCACTTAGAACTTTGAATCTGGCTGCGAAAGTTGTAAGGTGTTTGTGTGCATTATTGAGTGGAAATTATTCCTTCTACTGCATGTCGAGTGGAAGAAGTTTTGCTTAAGTGTAAACTTAGAGTATAAAAAATTATTCAAGGAGGGAATATTTAAGCTTCCTCGCTGAAATAAAGATTTTCCTCGCAAAGCGTTTGTATACGTACATACTTCTAAGCGTAACTTGATATCTTGCCAGTTATTTACAAACTTCATCAACTTTGGTAACTTTCGACACAATCTTTTATCTCCAAATTTATTTGCATTTCCTTACGAATGGGGTAATCTTCTCACGTCAGTTATTTTTCTCTTGCTTTCTCTTCTCCTTCGTTTTTTTATGGTCTTGCCACTTGGCGTACTTCAAGGCTCATTAGTGAACATGCAGCTTTTTCCCTTAAAAAGCACAAACAAGTGACTTCTCCGAATACTCGCATGATGAAGAAAATGTGTAGTTTTTTGTACAACGTACATAAAACACCGCCCACGCGCACACCTTCCCATCTCGAAAAATCACTAAAAAAAATTCCTCTAAATCTTTGACACAGAAATTTGAACTTCATTTAAGATAGAAAGGAACGAAAGCTCTGGAGTGCAGGTATTTTGTGGGACCTGACTTTGTTTGTTGTGTTTGCTGCCCGAGTCGAAATTCAAGGAGGCACAATTTAATCGTTTATTTTTAGAAGAACTGAAACGCTAGAAACTCAAGAGCTCTGGAAGCCATAATAGATGAGAATGACGAGGACTTGAAAGTTTGCGGCGCTTGGGCTATTTCAAAAACAAACGGCTCAATTGACGTCAAGGACGAGTGAATAACGTGCAACAGGATCGGGCTCTGCACATTGGATAATATGCGAGTTTAACCTAAATTGAAATTAATGAACTGTTAACAACCTGCATGTTGGGGCGCAAAGCTCTTTAGCTCTTGCCGAATCGCTTAATCGACTGAATTTCATCCCTCCTGTTTTGACCGGTTGAACGAGGACCAACGTGTTTACTCGAAATATCTCCCTCTGATTTTTCCCTACGGAGACTCCGGGGAACGAAAATGGATTTATGCCGGTTTGTTTTAATCATTTCCCTTTGGTGCACTTGGTAAAATCATTGCCAAAAAATAGAATCAACGCTGAAATAATTTTGTTATAAATGCAACACACAAAACTGCTTTACACGAAAAGCAATACCATGGTCCTGGTCTATAAAAAAAAATAATAGTTACGCAAACTATTGAACTTCATTTTCAGATATTTTAACATAGATCCCACCGATGAGCCAATCTGAAATTGATTTCAAAACTTCCATTTAGTCCATACCTTTTCGCATTATGTGGGCACTTCACTTTAAGGACTAGGAGCAGAATTTTTTGCCTCAACATTGATAGAAATGTAATATCAATCTCACCGAAGTCTCTTATGATAAGTATAGATGCGCTGAGGATATAATAAAACTATGGTAAACTGCACGTTTTACAATCCCTCGCCTTAATCCTGCATGAATTTATCTCTTGTAGACAGAACTTATGTAAATTAGGGTTGTATGCGTGTCTGTGAGTCAGAGATGAAGGCTGTATGAGCGTCATTGTGTTGAGGCTTTTTGTGCGTCTTTAACTCTCATAATTGGACCACATTTTGCAATAAGGAGTCATTATTTCTGGCTCATTGTAGAAACAACATTTATGCCATTGGTTTCCTTATGCAGAAAGGTGATTTTATGGAAGAGTCAGAGATAGTGGTTCTTTACTGCAAAATGTAATCCAATTATTCAACGACGGACTGGACACTGCATTTTTTTAGAATGGTGACATTTAAAATTTGAAGTGTCTGATTTTCCAATCCAGCTGAGGTATCCCAATAAAATTAACCAAGCATGTCTTGGTGACAGCAATCCAAAGACAATTTATGTCATGATAATAAAGCACTGAGTGCAGAAAGGGCATGTCTTAGTTGCGGTGTCTCAGAATTTCAACTGACGTTTCATCCATTACAGTTAGAGCAATTGTATAGAATTCGTTGACATTCTTACAGACATTTTCTTCGTGATTTTACGCTGAAACCGGAAAATTTCAGAGAATTCACCCAACCAGTTTCTTCTTAAAAATACATATTAGCGGTGAAGTTTCCAAGACACCCCAACCAAAAAATGCCCTTTCTGCACCCAACGCACTATTGAACATTTTGCATCCATACCAACATTGTACTGTAGTTACTACTCCTGAATCCTCAATTGCTGAAATTAAGGTTCCAATAGTGCCAATCGTGAACGTTTTTATAGGTTTCTTCACTGCTTTCTTTTTAATTCTTTGGGGGAAAAAGTTTTCAATTCTGTGGCCTCTCCTCTTCGCAGAAAATCGTTCAACACACGAAAATTAGAAAATCTTGACGCGCTTTGAGTGGCAAAACTTGACATCAATCTCAGTGGGCAGAGTTCGCGACGAAGTATAAGTTTTCCGAGTATGATTTATTGGATCCGGGCGGTGGTGGGGAGGGGGGTGTGATACGGGGGCAAGGAAATACTTGGCGAATTTCCAAGGCTGCTCATGTTCCCGAGCCTCGACATTGGCCGCGGTGCGCGGTGGCATGGCGTCCCAAGGAAGTACAAACTTGCTGTACAAAGCAGCGGGATTTCCCCAGACTATAAGCCTTACAGCGAGCTGAGCAAATTTGCTCTTCGGCTCCGAGGCTTTGCGAATCTTACAGAGAGGCAGGACTCAGGTCTTTGGTAGTTCGGTAATGGACCACTAGACAAGGTACGAATTTAAGCAATCTGATACATGTTTCTTAACCAGAATTTCACGTAAAACACGATTCACACTAAGAAAATTACCGAAATCAACTTCTAACGAAGATATTAACGTTTTTATTTCACATTGGTTACGAGGAATTTGAACTGCCCGCTCACAAGAAACTCAAAGCTCTACGTGAGTCAAATCGCGCGCTACAACGGTTTCAGCAAGCTTCTCAATCGAGCAATGTTCATTTTCCACCATGTGTTGTTCAAACTATTGGTAATTTGCTATAGCTGAGCCAAAGTGTCAAGATTGAAGTTGAAGATTTTTACATCGCAGAGACTGTCATGATAAACATTTAGCGCGCAATGTGAATCACGTAGAGCATTGAGTTTTCATGAGCGGGTGGTTTGAATTCACGCATCAAGAATCATTAAATATCTTCGTCAGGAGTTGATTTTGGTAATTTTCGTTGTGCGTATCGTGTTCTACGTGGAATTTTGGTTGAGAAACATGTATCAGAATGCTGAGATTCGTACCTTGTCTAGTGGTCCATTCTAAATGAACGTATTTCTGCCAAACGAAACTATGTGCATTATGACATGAGTCCTGTTATGCATTTATTCTTATGGGTCTTAGGGCTCATGCCTTAATGCACGTAGTTCCGTTCGGCAGAAGTACGTCCAAATGGAACTTCGGCCTGGATTGCCGCTTACGAGGAGTCAAAAAAAAGCAAAGTGAAGAAATGAGGAGAAAGTAAACCAAAACACAAATTAGATCAAATGGACTGCATTTTGCATTTTGGAACTATAAATTTTGGCCCGATTTACAAACAACGCATGCGCCATTAGTAGCCCTATGCGCATAAGTGTTTTCTCAGATGAGACGGAATTTATAGTTCCAAATTGCAAAATGCAGTGCAAATGTATTCCCAAAAAAAAGAAAAGGAAAGAAAAAGAAAAAACTTGACAAATGATAGAAAAAAGGAAACATTGGTCAAAAATGAATAAATTGATTACGAGAAGTTTACCTAGTTTGCCTGATTTATGTTTAAGTAAAATAATTACTTTAAGATTATCAATTGAATTAATAATTATACTAATTTTTTTCTGGATTTTTTATTTTGGAAGCTGAAAAAAGTTATTTTGACGAACATCGCTCCTAGAGGGAATGTTGCATTGATGTGGGCGCCATGAAATTGCAAGCGTTTACCTGCCAGTGCCGTTATTGCAAAGGAGGGTTTGGTATACTTTATTTTTCGATCGACATGAATCGATCGAAAAACCAAAACGTGGACCAATCGACAAAATTCCATCGAATCACGCGAGTTTGTTGATCGATTCACGATTTTGTCGATCAATTCACGGGTTTGTCGATAGACTCATGGGTCTGTCGATCGACTCACAGGTTTGTTGATGGATGCACGTGTTTGTCGATTGACTCCCAGTTTTGTCGATCGAATCACGGGTTTGTCGATCGATTCACGGTCGTCGATCGGATCACGTCAATTCACGAAGTTTTTTTCCAATCGATTCAGGTCGAACGAATCGACACCGACTTTTTTTTTTTCTTTTTTTTTTTACAATTTTTCGATCAAATCTGTGTCGATTGATTCACGTTTTCATTTTTCGATCGATTCATGTTTATCGAATCCATACCCTACGTTCTGTCCTGCACTTTTTTCACTAGATGGATTTTTAAAAGAATACTTTATGGGATTGTTAGTTACTCACCTTGGACTGACTTGGGAAGGAAGTCGAGGGTTCTGGTCTTTGACCTGATTCCGTACTCTCCGTCGATCCAAATGTACTCAGCTCGGATTTTGTTGTCTGGCTGCGGGATAGCGTGGAAGCGCTGTGCCGCTGATTTGTTCATCACCGTGTTGGGTGAGAATCCCAAAACTCCTTGTTGTGCCATTTTTCACCTGAAAACAGAACATTTCTTAAATTTATTTTTGAAAGAAATACACAAAACTAGTGAAATTTGCGATAAATCGATTCATCTGCCGCTCAAACCTATGGAAAATGACCGATGGACAGAGTGTTCACAACGAACACCTTCATCATTGATTCTTACCCGTAGCTCAAAATGGGGAAATATCGATAGTCAATCATTACTGCCTCGCCACTGCGAAAAACTACATCAGGTTGAAAAATCATCTTTAAAACCTTTGGTCAAAGGTAACGTTTTCAATCAACCATTCATTTTGATACATCGAGTACGATTGAAAAGTAGAAACAACACTTTTGAACTTCTTTCGAAGCTTTAAAGCTTGATTTTTTGTACATTTACTCTTTAATTTTTGATCTACTGGCTGACATTTCAGTTTTCTTGATAAAGGCACGGTAGCGTCTTGATTATACGCGATTCGAGTATCCGCGGTTTTGACGGTGGCTTTGGCCCAAAAACGCTGAAATTTTACGGCACCAACCATAATGAAAAATTTCTTCCAGAAACTATGTTTGTCAAGATAACCTTTTTCAGGTAAAATTTATTCATTATTGGCCAATTTTTCTTTCATTTTTTTTTCAACATTTTTTTTCTATCTTTCGTCTTTTACAATGCAGACTTTTCAAACTCATTTCCAGGCTGAATCGCTTAGCCTCCGATTATCCGCGAATTTTGCTTACTTGCGGTCCCAAACACCGCGAGGAATAATCGAGAATTTATTGTGCTCAAAATGGCTGAAATTTTTAATACATCTATCGTGGCGATACACGAAGGTAAAAGCTGAAGATCCAGCTTAAGCTACTGAAATTGACTGAAATGCGCGACTCACACGAGAGAGAGAAGAGTGAGTGCCGGAAGGGACACAACTAAACGTTTTGGCTGCGAGTACACACAGATCGCAGATCGGACACGGCTGACACCGACAGGCTAGGGACACCGTTCGCGTTCGCGCGGGTAATTAAGCGTAGATTATTACGTTCGACGACGCACAGTGGCTCAAATCAATCAAAAAGGTCGGACGTGCAAATTTTAATGTTTATTCTTTCACATTTTTAATACTTATGAGTGCTTCTGCAAGGAAACTTTACGAGGAAACCAGCGGAATCATTTTTAAAAGCTCAATACTTTGTGTAAACGGAGTTATAAGCTTGTAAAGTTTCCAAATCTTGTCCGACCTCTCCGATTGGCTCGATTCACTGTGCGACGCGGGCAGCATCGGGGCCGCGGGCGGGGCGGGGAGGAGAGGAGCGGGTGGGGCACACTAATCACTAGAGCCGCAAGTCGAGCTTTATCGAGTTATCAACAAGTGAACAAGTGAGTCTGAAGAGACGCGTTACTTGGCGGCGGCGTCTTAACGAGAGACGTAACGGCCGGCAAAGCTCGAGCTTACTAAGTTCGCTTGACAAGATGGTCGCGCTGCCAGATTGTGCGCGGTAACTCCTCTTGCCGGTCGAGATTTAGGGGCGTACTCATGATTCGACCGAGTTCATCAAAAAGGAACCAACCGTCTTTGATTTGGAAATGGGAGAAAGAGGTTTGAGTTTTTATTCCTGCATGAGGCTCGATGTAGAAAATAAACTTTAACTCCTCTTTTCACAAACTAATTTTTTTTTTGAACTTTCGGATTTTGGTAGGAAAAAATAAACTACTGGTAAAACTCAAAAACATGTTTAACTAAATTTTTTGAAAATATGGGGGGTTGGTTCCCTCCTGAAAAACTCGGTCCAATTATTACTCAAAAGCTCGTTCCCTCGGGGGCTGTCCCTAGATTGCGCAACGAACTTTTTCGGCAATTCCCCCCCCCCCTTGTAACGCTTTTGTGTTCGCTTCGTAACGCCTTGTAACGCTTAATGTTCCCGACAGTATGTCATCCATTCCACCTGACAAAGGCACGACAAAGCAACGATGAGACATAGACGACCACGACCAATCTCGCTCCGCCTAACCTATGTCATCTATGTCGTCCCGACAAACAAAAAATTTCAACAATCAGGCTGCTGGTAACGCTATTAATTTGGCTACGTTAAAAGCTAATCTGATTAGAATAAGCGATGATTACATACCGTTCTGCGAAGAATGATAATAGATACCGTACGCCAAAGAGCTATTGATTTTTTTTTTTTTTTTTTTTTTGAAAATTTTAAAACAATAAATAAATCTGTGAAAAATGAAAATTCACATAACACAAACAACAAAGCTTCAACTTTGTAAGTAGAAGAATGACTGATAAAGAAGACACCTGAGAGACAACACTCGAGCTCACAATGATGGTACTTCAACTGACAATGAGATGTCTTTAAGGTCCTTTAGCAGGCAGGCTATGCATGCCGATTGGGCCAATGAACAAATGAACTGATACCTTATCTTATCAGCCTTATCATCTGTCCACGTAATTACGTGATTCATAGAAAAACGTGTAAATTTAATAATGAATTTGAGCAAATATTTAAAAATATGAGCCGAGCAGTCTCACAAATTCGCAACCAGTGCTTCATTCTATGCTACGCTATACTCATGAATCAGTCGATCTATGGGCTGGCTGACTTGAGGATACTAAACGGTTCTCAGGATGAGAAGTAGGTAGCTGAAGAGGAAAAATAGATTTTATTTTGTTGAAGACCAAGATATCGGGAGCCAATATTAGCCTCAAATATCAGTTTATCGCAGTTTTCTATTATTGTCTTGAAACTATAAGCCTAATCAAATGTTTACTTTATCATTTCCTATCTCTCACCGTGAGTAATTTTTCGGACAGCCGGATATCAGAAATAGAAGATTTTTTTTTTTTTAAGTGCCTAATCATTGTCTCCACGGCAATGATTATGATTTGTGTATCCTTGCTCAAACAGACCAAGGCATGAGAAGTGCCTTCTATTAACTTTAAGATCTGCGCGTAGAAAAATGAAACTGCTTATTTGTCAATTTTATAGTTAAAAAAAGTGTCCTGACATTTTTCAATATAGAGACTACCAAAAAAAAAATTCTAATCCACGAGGAAGGCTCCTCTATTTTAAAATGTGCACTTAAAACATTTTGGACACATTTTTCAACAATTTAATTGTGAAATAAGCAATCCATTTTTCCGTGTGAGATCTACACCAGACAAACAAGGGCCGGTGTTTAATTATGGTCAGTAATTTAGTGCAGCGATATGATGCATCAATAAAATGAACAATTAAAGTTTATCGGCTCATTGATTGAAACGGCCGGGAGATGTGATTCGAAACAACACCATCAGGCGTTGGAGAGATGATCAAGTAATTACTCCTTACGTAGTGATTTTGACTGCGAAAACGATGAAGTGATAAAATTGCACGTGATTTATCTACGTAATCAAATGACGCATGAAAACTAAAAACAAAATTGAGTCAAAATGACAACTTGATTTCCATTCCAGACTGCTTGATACTAATGTTGAGTAGTTAAAGCATTTATTTCAACTTTAAGCTAAAGCTCTTCAAAACATGGAGATCAATGGGTGTGAGTAGGGATTGAAGTTTCCCGGAAAATTCAAATGCCAGGAATGGGAAATTTATTTTGGCACGAGTGTGTTTCTCTGTAAAAATTTCCCAATAAATTAGATCTTACATAGCCAGAAATTCCTGGGGGCGAAAAAGCTCCCTACATAGATCCTATAGGAGCGACCACTGTGAGAGACCGTTAACGAATATTTGAGTGAGAGCCATAGAAAGTATTACACTAGAACTTACGTTCATCTTCTCCTCCAATCGGACTAAGAATAAATGTAAGAATAAATCAAGTAATCGAAGCCAAATCTAACGAAATTCATCGATTGATACGATGGATAGCGATGAGAATAATGCTGTCATCGAAAATCTTAATATATTAAAGCTGTCACGCGACTATTATCTCCTTGCTTTCAGAGGTGATTAGCCGACTATATTCTTCTTCCTCTTCTATTCTTATTTTCGCCTCAATAAATCACTTGCTCTGCCCATTTTAAAGTTATAATTAGTCTTTATCTATCTATAGGCATGGATGCTGGATACGGACACTCATTAGAGGGAATGACAAAAACTGACTTAAGGGGAAGAAGAACCCAAAAATATTCTTGAGGCATTGGCATTATCAATTTATTCAATTCTAACGCTACGGGGATTCGGAAATGAAAATTAACGTCGATATGCCTGCACACGGAAGGAAAATAACTTAACAAATCCCACCTGAAAGATGAATTGCATTTTGCAATAAGGAACTACTATTTCTGGCCCATTTTAGAAACAACATACATGCCATTTGTTTCCTAATGCAGATATGTGCTTTTATGTGATAGGCAGAGATAGTGGTTCCTTATTGCAAAATTTAATCGAGATAATCTCGAAAATGGATCTTCTCGAGACCATAATGGACTATCAAGAGATATTTTTGAGATGATATAAACATTGGCACACCGTATCATTTTTTGTGGTCCATAAAGAGGGGGAAAACTTAGAGAGTATGACATTCGAGATAAATCATTGCAAAATGGTATGCTAAAACCTTACACAAAATAACTTTCAAATTGTCTGAAAGATGCGCTTCATTTAGTATTTCACAGCCTCTTCAATTGATGCAAAAAACACAAATTCTTCAGTAAATTTTCCATGTCTATTTCACAAATTATACTTGCGCACGTTCCAAAAGATCTTAGCTAATTTTTTGCATAGAAAACAGGTATCAAAAGAGAAGAATACCGCCGAAAGTGGGAATTTCGTTAGACAATATGAAGTATAGTGAATGGTTTCCTTCGAACATTGCAATGAAATTGAAAAGAGTGAAGCGAAGATAAGTTGACGACAATTTTTCCTGTATGAAGTAAAAAACTTATCAAAAAGCCGACAGTTTCGAGTGAGCGTTTGAACTTTAATCTTTAGAGAAGATAGATATTCAAGAAGAGGCAAAGTAAGTGTTAATGAGACAAAACAAGGGCGAGGTGAATTAAGTGACTCTTCAAAAATACGCTATCGGATAATTACTGAGGCTAATTTATTCAGTGCGACCATACTCTTCGGAGCGCTGGAGAGCTATATAGAATAACATAAGGGTGATTTTACGATAACAGGAATAGTTAAAATGTGAAATACCTTAGAAATAAAAGTGCACAAATTTTAACAGGATTTCATTACCTCATTTTAAAGGTATTAAACTTCCTTTTTCCAGCTTTGGCACGCTCTATTTTGATTCAGTGCAAAGTTAAAGTGATTGANCCCCCCCCCCCCCTTAGAACGTTACGCAATTTAGAAACAGCCCCTTGAAAGATTCCATTGGTCTACGTTAAGATTAAGGAAGACTAGGGTGATCCTTAACACAGCTTCATTAAAAAGACAAGTTTTGCCGGGGTTACATTACGAAGTGTTATCAGGGGGAGGAGGTCAAAAAATGTCTAAAAAATGCGTTACGACATTTAGGACTGCTCCCTGACTTATAAGCGGTGATCATCAAGTCCCGCACCACCGGTTCACGTGCCCTTCGGTCCTTATCCCTTGTCAGGACGGTCCTTTTAAAAAGGGGGCTCTCAAAAGTCGATTTCTTTGACTTGGAAGCACCTTTTCAGGACTCTATCTCAATTTTTCCAAAGTTACAGGATAATGCCTGGTGCTGACGACACGTGACTTCTGGATCACCCCGTATCCGCTGAAATTGTTTAAATACCGTATCCTCATTTTTCAAAATTTTTTGCCTATTTTTCCCTTGGCGATGCAAATAAAATCACTGCCGAGAACAGAAATACAAGACCTAATCAACCTCCAAATTCTATGAGTTTCACCGAACAGTTAGGGATAGCTCTGGTAACACTATCAATTTGGATACGTTAGAAGTTAATCTAATTAGAATAAGCGATGATTACGTACCGTTCTGCGAAGAATGATAATAGATTATACAAAAGAGCTATTGATTATTTTCTTGAAAATTTTAAAACAATAAATAAAGCTGTGAAAATGATGATAATTTATATGACTCGAACAACAAAGCTTCAACTTTGTAGGGCGAAGAATGACTGATAAAGAAGAGCCCTGAGAGACAACACTCGGGCACACGATGATGGTACTTCAACTGACAATGAAATGTCTTTGAGGTCCTTTAGCAGGCAGGCTCCGCCGATTGGGCCAGTGAGCAAATGAACTGATACCTTATCATATCAACCTTATCATCTACCCACGTAATTACGTGATTCATAGAAAACGTGTAAATTTAATGATGTATTTGAGCAAATGTTTGAAGACATAAGCCAAACAGTCTCACAAATTCGCAACCAATAGGTTAGTCTACGCTTTACTCATGAATCAGTCGATCTATGGCCTGATTTCAGGGTATTTCACGGTTCTCAAGATGAAAAATAGATAGGTAGCTGATCAGGAAAAATACATTTTATTTTGTTGAAGACCAAGATATCGGGAGCCAATATTAGCCCCAAATATCAGTTTATCGCAGTTTTCTATTATTGTCTTGGAAGTATAAGCCTCATCAAATGTTTACTTTATCATTTCCTATCTCTCACCGTGAGTAATTTTTCGGACAGCCGGATATCAGAAATAGAAGATTTTTATTTTTTAAACTACCTAATCATTGTCTCTACGGCAACCAGTTTCGCGTCTCCTTGCTCGACGAGATCCAGGCATGAAAAGTGAAACCATTGGTCAAATGAACCGGTCAATTGAACCAATTATTTTCCTAATCACGTAAGCGCCAATCTCTATTTTGGTGGTAGAGGGGTTACTTGGATTGCATTTTGCAAAAAGGAACCACTAGCATTGCAATGTTGCTATGATTGTGCAACTTCTTTTGTCTCGGGGGAAAAACTCGATTATATATTTATAGTTTCTATTTTACTCGCTAAAAACTGTAAATTTAAGACAGAAATTACCATCTAAATTTCATAGTTTTTCACGATTTCCGCAATTTTATAGCAAAATATGAAGTTGCACAATCTTAGCATCATTGCAATGCTAGTGGTTCCTTTTTGCAAAATGCAATCGACTTTTCCTTCGTTTTCACTGGCATAATCAAACATGTCTGATTTCAAAATCGCCTTCTAAAAGAACATACATGTTTTGGAATTTGAAGATTGTCAACAAAGGGAATAGTACGGTTATTCTTGTTTTTCTCTCATTCTCAATTTTGGCGCTTACGTGATTTGGAAAATAATTGGTCCCATTAACTTGAGGTAAGATCTGAAATTTACACCAGGCAAACAAGTACTTGTGTTTCATTATGGCCGTGTCCGTAATTCGGTGCAGCAATAT